GGTCTGGCGTGAGTGTTGGGGGGGGGGCAGCAGCAGGGGCCGTGGGGTGTCGAGGGCAGGTCAAGGGGGCAACGGATTGGTGGAGGCCCCACCAACAGTGTGGCGGTCGGCATGCATGCCTTGAGGAAGGCAGGGGGTGCTTGCCCTGATGCCACGGCCTGTGGTGCAAGTATCACTTTTTTGTACAAGTGTTGATTCATCCTCCACCCCTGGCTTGCCGGGGATGCATTGTGATTGGCTTGGCTCTTCCTGAGTAGAAGCTCCCTACTCACAATGCCACACTGTTGCACACCCTCTTTTTCAACCACCCAACACACAAACACCCTCTTTTCCAACCACCCACGCACACAAACACACTCTGTGTCCTGCGCGACCAGGTGTTGATCCTCCTGCAGGCGGTGCAGGTGCCGGTCAAATCGCAGGACCCCACCCTCAGGGCAAAGCAGGTGCGACAGCGGTCGGAGGAGAGGCAGCGCTGCGCGTGGCATCGCCGAGACCCACCGTATGCACAGCGGCAGCTAGTGCACGACATTGAGTGGTCATCAGGCTGTGCTGTCCTCGCCTCGCCTTGGCGTCAGCCCTGCAAGCGCCGCGCGCACGCCGCGAGAGGCGTGCCTCGTCCAAGCACCTCGCCCTACGGCCACAGCTCCTCCATCTTGACGCCGGCCACGTGTGCCCTCCTAAACTCCCCCCCTTCCCCCCCCCCCCCCACACACACACACCCACACATGCGCGCACACACCCCTTCCCCAGGTGCCAGAGGCGCAGGCGCTGGAGGGGGAGGTATATGCGGCGCTTGAGGCCACGCCAGAGAACGGCAAGGCCTTTGCAGCGGGTGAGGCGCCCTGGTCCTGCCTGCATGCGGGGGTTGAAGGTCGCAGGGGCGGGCGGGCAGGCGGGCGGACAGGCAGGCAGTGCGTCTCAGTGTTCTGGAACCCCTTGAGCATTTTTGTGTGTGTGTGTGTGTGTGTTTTTGGGGGGCAGGCGGAGTAGTCACCTCGGCCAGCTGCAGTGGCTGGCTGCAGTACTGCCGCGCTTCGGAGTCCCCACAAACACCAGGCGAACTGTTGCAGCTGACGCCCGCCACCCCGTGGCCGCCCTTGAGACACACACACACACACACACACACACACACATCCACGCACACGCACGCACACACACACACACACACACACACACACACACACACACACACACACACACACACACACACACACACACAGCCGTGCGCAGCGCGCTGCAGCGCGAGGAGGGCTGGGTGCAGTGGAAGCGCGGCGGCCCGCCCCCCATACCGCCGCCCAAGGAGCGCGTGCAGCCCTGCCCCGACTTTGAGCTGCAGCCGCCGCAGCGTGGGCTGGGGGAGCGCGTGGCGGAGGGCGCGGCGGCAGCGGCGGCGGAGGCCACCCGCACGCGGGCGCGGCGCGAGGCGTGAGTTGCGGCCTGCGGCGCGTGGGCGAATGGGTTGCCATGCCGCAGAGCGCCTCAAACCGTCCTGTGCCTGGTGCTTGTGGAGGCGCTGGTCCCCCAAGCTGCTGCTTCCGCACAACACTGCCTGTGACCACCAGACAGCCTCACAGCACCCCTGTCCGCACATTTACACACTCTCTCACACACGCGCTGCCTCGACCCCTGTCCCCCCCCAGCATCCTGGCGGCCCTGGCGCGTGAGCGGCGCTCCGCCCTGGAGATGGAGACGGACGAGGCCCTCGCTCCCAGGAAGAGGGTCAAGGTGGGGG